AAGACGCTCCCCATGGACCGAGGAAAACCGTGTTCTCCCAGGGGGTCAGAACCAGAGGGTCTATGTGAGTGACATCGGGAGATGTACTTGTATGTGATATTTCTCATGATATATCCCTCTACTATACTAGGACCTTTCAAGAGGTGTCTATAACCAGCCTCTTACAGGTAAAGGGGTGTCCAATAAATCACCGGACTTGGAAGGTCCTGGCACCTTGGATGGGTCAATGACAGTGAGTGACATCGGGAGAGGTCCTTTTGTTGGAACGAAACGACGATGGACCCGCTGAGGTGGGCATCGGACCTCCTCCGCCACAACTGCCAGTGGCTTCGGCGACAGATTTCGGGTGGACGGCCCTTTCCACGACCCGTTTGGGACGGGAAAATCTGCCGCCCCAGAAGCCCGACTTCAACCACTCCAATGTATGTATACCTTCAGTTCGACCATTCAAAGAACGGTTGAGCTGGCGGTGTAGTGTAAAAAGGCTTCGTAAAACTAATGTTTCTTTGGGATTCAGACCATCAAAACAATGGTTGTTTGAATCCTATAGGGTAATATATGCCGGTCCCGTGTCTGCGACGGGAAAGAGACGTAAAGCAAAGAAAAACAGCTGCGAGGGAGTGGAGCCAGCAGAGCGAGCAAGCTACGGAGCCGCGGAAAAAGCCCTCCGTGGGCCAAACCGGGGATGGCCCCAGTGGACCACCGAAAGCGAACAGAATAGACTACCCCGGGGGCCCGGTCTACTCAGGGTGAAACGGGGTCGGAGATCGGTGCTGTGCCCAGACTCTCCCAACACACTTTGCTCCTTCAAAACCTGACAGTTTTGACACACCGTCACCCCTGACCTGAGGATTCAGGACTGATCGGATCCATATGATCCAGGGTCGCGTCTGGGTGCTTTCTTTCATTGGCTTGCTTTTGCTGTTTCACGTGTTCCGTCGATGGTGCTTCATCCTGAAGGACTGGTCCTTGGGCGGGTTTTCTTTGCTAGATGAAGAACGGGCACCAAGCTGTCGACCACGTCACTAGTGTCAGCAGTCATTTCAGTTATCCCATTTCACTGACAGCCACTGGCAGCTTCGCCTCTGTTGGCCACGCAGCCTTTGGGTGTTTGACGGGACGGTCCGCCACCTACCAAGGCGCCGTCGGAGGGCGTCCGCGCCAACAGCCGAGACGCAGCACTGCTGGGGGTGCCCAGCTGCTCGAAAGGGTGTGACCGGGGCGCGACGGGGTGAAGTCGCAATCACTTCGAGTGCAACGAACAGCAACTCAGCCATAGCCAGAGAAAGACATCATGACATCAAGAGCACAAAAAAATAGAAACTCTTCACCCACTTGGTTTTCTCACTACTTCTGCCTGTCATACGCTGTTCGTAGAGTTTACACGCGCGCGCGCGCGTCTCTAACAAAGAACTTGAATCGAACATACTACCAGCACCACCCCAAGGGTGGTTTATAGACCCCCTTGAAGATGTATTTTCCATTGTAAATAAAAAGAACACGCCAGTCGTAGGGCCAAAAGGCCTGCAATTCGCCAGCTGGCGAGCGGTGAGGTGAAGGAGGTCACTGCGGGTTTTTGAGAGTCTGTGAGATGAGCCGATGCTGGTAGCTAGTTGGGGGGTCCATGTATATTTGTTTCGCCGGGGGTCAGATGACCTCTGCTTTTCCTGGGGCTATTTGGTCATGATCTAGCCCAAAAAATCTGGTACAAGGCGGAAGAATCGTTTGGATACATCCAGGATCATCCGGGAGGCTCATTTAGAATACCCAAACAGTACTACATGTACTCCCATGTTCCTATAGTCTTCCCCAAAACCAGGAGACACCCTGTAAGTTTGGGGTTTCCAATTGATCAGCTCCAAAAAGAGGTTTGTTTAATGGGTGTCCATTCACCACCCCGACGGGTCCTGGCTCGTGTCCACCGCTTCGCGGGACCCGAAGCCGCCCGTGAAGGACGGCCAACCGAACGGGGAACGGCGTTTTTTCAATGTGCATGTTTATAGGCAAGACAAGCATATAGTGAAACACTGCCAGCATCACTTCAGGGGCGGTCTATAAACCACCCAAAGGGTGGTGCTCTTTCCCCGGACCTCTGGTAGAACGGTTTCCGGAACGGTCACTCCAGGAACGACTGCTGCCCTGCAACAACCCGGGACGCGAAACGGCAGAGGATGCTCCTGGAGAAGCGTCAGCAGTCCATCGAAAAGGTGCCGCCCAGACCTCCCATCGAAAAGGGCGGACGAGGGAGCTCGGACACCGCGCTCCTTCCGGCGGAGACGACGAAGGTCGTCGTCGGGGTCCGAACTCGGTCCGTCGGTGGGGGCGCCATAGTCATAGCCGGAGCATCCCGAAGAACCAGCTGTTTGACGCTTTGACACGACAACACCAGATCGTTCCCATTTTAAAACATGGTCGAACGATGTGGGACGGACTTCCGGGTGGAAGGCCAGGGTGCGGCTGTCTGGCTGTGGGGTCGAAGGGAGCAAAAGGGGTGAACTTCAGGCGCCCGATGCAAAGACCTCCGGTTTGGACAGGGAAATGGTACGAAAGACATTCAAAGACCTCAAAAGACCTATAAGGGCCTCCCCGGAATCCTTCAGGTCCCGTGCAGGTCCCGTGTGTCATCATTCATCTGACTCGTTATTAATATCGTGAACTATTGGTGGTGTTCCATTGCCGGGCCGCAGCTGTTTTGAAGCCAAGGCCATTCATGGCGATGTAAACTATGAGACATCTTTATGAGACACACACTGAACTGAAGAGCTTCTTTGTCACAGTTCATATCCTCCCTGGAAGTCACAGTTCACATCGACATAGGAGTCTGTTTTATGAAGAAGCATGGTCCAGCATGGTAGACAGACAGGACTTCGCATGGACTGGAGGTGTTCGTGTTTGCTACATCTCTGTGATTTCGCCACAAGACGTTTCGAAGTCCAGTTTGGGCGGCATTCATCGAAAAGAATCCATGCCATATCTCAATTCCTCCGTCAACGACATCAGACCGTTTTGTCCAATCCGACTAAAAGGGTCCACGATAGAAGGGCCGACGAAAAGCGTCGACTCCTCACATCTCCGATCTCCGACCGCCGATTTTCACCGCGCCCTGCGGCACCCCGTCGAACGCCCCAGTCGTCCGACGCGGGGCAGAGGGACCGGAGAGTGGGGAGACAGGCTCGTCGTCGCAGGGGTGGCAGACATATTATATAAATATATAATCCCTGTTGCCATTTCCCCTATGAAATGGGAGGGGTCAGGCCCTGTATAACAAAATATTTTGTAGTAATATATTTTGTTGGCTTGCCAAAGCCATTTTGTAGCCCACGAACCCGAATGCAGACACGTTCGAAAAGTTATAAATGACACTCTTGTGGGACACTCTTGTGGGTCACTCTTGTAGGAAACTCTTGTGGGAAACTCTTGTGGGACACTCTTGTGGGACACTCTTGTGGGACAGTCTTGTGGGACACTCTTGTAGGACACTCTTGTGGGACACTCTTACGGGACACTCTTGTAGGACACTCTTGTGGGACACTGTTGTGGGACACTCTTGTGGGACACTCTTATGGGACACTCTTACGGGACACTCTTGTCGGACACTCTTGTGGGACACACTTCTTGTG